GAAGATTATGAAGTATTTTCTTACTAACAATAATATAAAAAGGCGAAACAAAAATAGATTTATAGAGACGAACGAAAATAAATGTTAGGACATGACGAAATAAATGTTAGGACATAATGAAATAAATATTTGTGAAAAACTGTACGGGAGAATTTGACTAAACCTTAGAAATATATGTACGTAAGACTAACGAAAATCCTCTTTATATAACAAATCTTATGGTAGGACATAAATTGGGAGAATTTAAGATCTTATTCACAATCTGAAATATATTAGTTTGTCATAAAATACATGACATGGATTATTGGACCTGGTTATCAAATTTAAAAATTTAATACTCTTTACATTGTATAACATAGACCTCCATCACAATCAAATTAGATGCATCTTTTATTGCTGAAATATCCATTACCATAAAGTTTCATGTCTTTGGTTTTCCCAGAAACAAAAACAACAAAAAGAGATGACTTTTCACGCGAACGTATAATTCAACAATTTTGAACGAATTTACAATAAATGTTTACACTGGATTTGTTACGGTAAATTAAACTCTTTTTGTAAACTAATAAAAATCAATGTTTCTCTTAGCAAATATCCTATGTTAAGGTATATTAAAAACCTATTTAAAACATCTATGACAAAAGAAGTAAATTCCTATATTTTGAATAATACTTTTAAGTGATTTAAACCTTTTAAAGCCACTATGTATTTCTTTGTATATCCATCAAATATATATTTGTCTTAAAAAAAAAATGTTTATGTACATACTATTGGATACATATTTTATATCAGATAGAGGAGAGATACAAACATGTAAACGTAATTGAACTTTATGAATTAAACGTATAATGAATGATTGAAACTAAATGTACAAATTTATTGATTACAATCATGTAGTTAATTTGTTAATAAATATACATGTGAAANTGTNGCATATCCNCCACTATTTTTAACTACGNAAAGAGATNACAAATGAGATAGTTGTAAAATGTATTTGTATTGGTAGATTATTTACCNTATTATTTTTGCATATAAATGAACGAAACCTTGATTACANCATGACAAAAATATGTATAATGGAAAACCTAAATTAAACTTTTTCACAGAAGCCCAGTCAATAGTGAACGGATCCAAC